CTGTTCCCCATTGCCTGAGACATTCGCTGAGCACATCGTCCGTTGAGGCTTTGTCCTTGATGTATTTATGGATCTTGGATGTTTCATCATATATATATACTGTCTATATAAACAAAACAAGTTCAAAAAGTAGATTTATGGTTTACATATATTTACAAAAAATCTCATGTGTAATCTTAAAGGAAAGTTTAACACAAATCAGTTTAGAGCAAATACTCTGTATAACGTCAGTGTTTGTACTGAATGATGTGACTCAGCCACTTCACACATTTGTAACTACAATACAGCACTCTACTTTTATTTTGTAAAATGTAATTTTTTTTATTATAGCTATTCCTCCACCTGATCTGTGGGTCTAGCTGCATTCATCGTTTATTCTAAAAACAATTATTTTACCTTCAAATCTACTCAAACTGTATTTTGTATTGCAATTCAGGAACCAGTTGCAGGTCACATCTATCTGCAGGAGAGCACAGAACCAGCAACAGACTACTGAGATGATCGAAAACACAAAGGAAGCCATTRGCCTAACAACACTGTGTCACAGCTTGCTGAGTAATCTCTGTACTAAGTTACAGGATATATGGAATATTATTGCAGTAAAATCTCAGGAGTTGGAACATGTTGATGCAGTGAAAGGAAATAACGTTTGGATCGAAGGCAGAGATGCTCAAGAGTGAAAAYAAAGAAGAACTARAGAAATTACATTTCCTGCGARAATAAAATGGGAATGCTTATTGCTGAATAATTTAGCTGAAAGCTGCTGAAGAAGCTGAAATCTGTTTAAATGCTGAATTGTTAATGATTCCTTAATTTTAACAGYTGAGGTGGAACMCAAAAGTAGACGAACGGTTGCTGGAATTTGCTGAAGAACACAAACTGTGGAAACAAAAAGCTTCAAGGGGCCGAGAACAGCTGAAAAATACMGACATACACAGACGAAAAGTAAAAGGTGCTGAAAGGGGCAAAAAAGAGCTGGAGAGGGCAAAAAAGAAAGTTAAAGACCGTGTAAAGTAAAAATAAATGTGTTCTGAGGTTGTCACACCACAGAAATANTTTTCTTCTTCTCTTTTATAAAAACTGATGATGAAGAAACTAATGTTCAGTTCTGTTTTCTTCTGAAGTAGTTAAAAAAACCTTGGGATTTTGTTTGTTTAAAGCTGTGGTGGAGACCACTGTCCTGCTGTGGGACACAGAAGCACTAAACACAGTTAGGCTGCATTCCAGTTGATGCTTATTGACAGATAAGTAAAACGTGCATAATCTGCAATAGAAAGTCAGTTTTAAAGACATGAATGAGTTAAAAAGTATAAAGTTCATGACTACATGTGATTGAATAAGCGTACTTCATTTGTAGGTGCAAAATTGGTTCTCATTGAYGTAGTTGCATGACGAATATTGCAAAAATTTGTTTGTAGAGTAGCAAAAACAAAAAAAGTCCAGAAACTACAGACTTGCAGTATGGTTGTCCATGCCCTGTGTCACTTTGTGCCCTAGAAACCAAAACAACAATGGAGCCATTTTACAAGTTGTAACTTTGTTATGCCGAAAAGTGTTGAAACCAAGTGGAAAACACATACTACTATTCCTATACTGTATGTTCTTTGTATTTTGGTTTGTCATAGGTGTAAACATATCTTGACCCTCAGAAATCCATAATTTTCGATACAACGAGGGGAAGGTTGGATCGGACAAGTGGACTGTGAAGAGAGGACTTGAGGATGCAAATAACAACGTTCACAATAGCAGAGAATCAGGAGGGGGACGATGAGCAGGTGGAAAAATTATTTTCTCACAGCCTGCCRGCTCTGGGACTTGTGTAAATTTCAAGAAAGGTTTTCAAAAAAAAATCCGTAAGATTTCCCTATACAGTATGTCTGTATTCATGCAAAATGAAGAAAAATCCATGTAATTTATGGACWATCTGTATAACCTGACACGTGCCTACTGCTGCAGTGTGACCTGTCTAAACTTTCTAAACAGAAAT